ATTTCAATTGTTTGCTAAGTAAAAGTTTCCAAAAACATTCCAGGAAAGTATGGGAACATAAAAGAAAAGTTCTTTGAGGGTATTGTTATTGTTAAGTGCCACTGAGTAGGTTCTGAATCATAGCAACCCCGTGTAGGCTTTCCGAGGAGTGGCTGGTGGGTTTGGACTGCCTACATTGCACTTAGCCTGATGTTTATCTTACAGCGCCTCGTAATCTAAATGGGTCTGAATACATGGTACCTTTTGTAGATGTTGGTGTTTGCAGCCATCAAGTCAACTCTGACTCATGAGAACTTCATGTACAACAGAAGGAAATATTGCCTCATCCTATGCCATCTGCATTATCATCAACATGCTGGAGTTCACTGTTGCAGCAATTGTGATGATCCATTCTCTCATTTTTGCTGACCATCGACTTTATCAAATATGTTCTTTTCTAGAAACTGGTCTTTGCTGATGATGCGTCCAAAGTAAGAGAGTCAAAGTCTCACCATCCTTGCTTCTAAGGAACACTCTAGTTGTATTTCCGCTAAGATTTGTTCATATTCCTGCCAATCATCAGTTAAGCACCATCAAGTCAATTCTGACTCATAGTGATCCTATGCACAACAGAACAAAACACTGCTCCGTCCGGTATCAGCTTCACAATTGTAACTTGCTACGCTTGAGCCAGTTGCTGCTGCCACTGTGCCAATCCATCTTGTTGGGGGGTGGGCGGGGAGTCTTCCTCTTCACTGACCCTTTACTTTACCAAGCATGATGCCCTTCTCCTGATAATATGTCCAAAGCATGAAAGATGAAGTTTCGCCATCCTGGCTTCTAAGGAGCATTTTGACTACTTCTCCCAAGACAGATTTGTTTTTCTAGCAGTCTATAGTACTTTCAGTATTCTTCGCAAACACCATTACTCAAACGCATCAGTTCTTCATGCTCTTCCTTATTCACTGCCACATCTCTTAATCAATGGCAAGGTTATAGCTTTGTTTGGTTTGGTGCTTTGATGACAGGAATGGGGGAAAGGGTGGAAAGAATGGTACAAAATGGAACCATGGGTGCATGGTCCTGATGGATACACTTCATTTTCAAAGCATGTTTTAAACTTTGTATTGCGCAGTGAGTGAAGGTTTACAGAGCAGATCAGTTTACATTCACCATCCACACACGTCATTTCAATGACTGCAATCACCTTCATGAAACACCAGTTAGCCTTCTTCCCCCTGTGAGTCTTATTTCCGTTCCACCTTCTTTCCCAACCCTTCTCTTTGTCCTTGGGTAAATGCTACCTTTTAGATCTTGAATGGTTGACCATTCCGTGGTGTGTATGACTCACTAGTGTTGTCATTCCCCCTATATGCTTATCTCCTGCTTAGCTAAAACTTGAATCATGGTGTGTTCAGTTCCAGACCTGAAGGGTAACTGAGGACCACTGTCTTGGGCTTTTCTAGACTCTTCCTGAGCAGTAAGCCTGGTCTGTATGTTTTGTTTTGCTCCATGTTTTTTCACGCTCTATTCAAGTCCTTTTAATGTAATCCCTTTCAGAACAGTTGGTAGGGGTGACCAGGCACCATCTAGCTTGGTAACTGATGCTCATATTTTCCATTAGTACAATGAACTAATTGATTCCAAGTCTTTTCCATTTTCACCACTCCTCTTTTCCCCATACTGGGAGAGATCTATAGTTGCAATTTAGATGGCTACTCATGAGCTTTTAAGATTCCAGTTGCTACTCATCAAAGTAGCATGTAGAACGTTGTGCTGGTAGACTATGTTGTCAAAGCATATTTTTAAGTTGATGGAGACCATACTGCCATCTGTCTTAGGGAGACATAATGGTTTATAGAAATAGAAAATCTCATGCCCACTAGACACTCCCCACCGATGTTTGGGCTAAGGGCCAGGGAGCTCTCCTGCACAAAGACTCTGTGTTCAGTTTCTCTGAAGGTACTAGGCATTTCATTACCTCCCTCCATCCCTTTTCTGCTGCCATCTGCACTTTGTACACAGAATGCCCTTTCTATCTATTCCATCATCACTCAAGAAATACCTGAAATTCCTCCTCTCTAAGAAGCCCTCCTAAGGAGCTCTGGTGGTGTAGTGGTTACGAATCGGGCTGCAAACCTTCAGGTCAGCAGTTCGAAACTACCAGCTGTTCTGTGGGAGAAAGATGAGGCATTCTGCTCCCGTAAAGATTTACAGCCTCGGAAACCCTGTACAGGGTCGCTATGAGTCGGAACCGAGTCCACTGCACACAGCCACCACCACCAAGAAGCCCTCCTAGAACAATCAGAAAAAAGGTTGTGATCTCATCTTTACCTGCCTAAACATCAAACTGACTTCCTCATTGACTGCTTCACTAAATCCCCCCACCATTCAAACACAGATAATTGGTATTTTAAATGATATCTATTTGTTCTCAAATTCGTGTTAGGTGTGTTTTCAAATCAGTGGTAACACCTAAGCATGATTTTTCCAATCTTATTGCTTTGCATATTTAATAATAAATACTATGTGGAATTTATCTTAATTTCATAAACTACGTAGTACTTTTAAATTGTCCTGGGCTAAGAGCCACTATTTTATTCTATTTTTTTTTTTAACTTTTGATTGTGAATTGACTGAAGGTTTATAAAACACACTGGTTTTTCATTGAACAGTTCACACACACTTTGCTTCAAGACATTGTCTGCAGTACCCACAAGGTAACTGTCTTGTGTGTTTACCATTTTCATCTGACCTTTTTTCCTACCCATTCCTGCCTTCTAAGGTTTGTCTCAGGGCAAATGCTGCCCTTTTGCTTTTGTATGACTGATTGCTCCAATACCATTACTTAATAAGTAACTTAATGAAGCCCCCTGAAGTGACATAGACAAGGTTGGGCGGCATTCACCAAACTGTTCTGTGAATGAACTTTTGCTCCTACGTGCTGAGAGCTGACTGTACCCTTAACACTGTTGGCTGACCTTAGATTAGCTGTAGAAATTCTGTGGACAGGTTCTCAGTGCCTTTTTGTGACTGCTACTTAATCCCACCACCAATTTCTAACTGGACATGTCATATTCGAAACTAGAACAGTCTCTGGCATGACCTAGTACAACCCCAGTTTCTATCTCTGTCTTCCTTACTTTCCATTAGGGTCATTATCAGCTATTACAGTGGTATCTGGAAGACAATTTCTACAGGGTAGAGGACTTAAGTTCTAAATACCTATCTTTTTGGTGAGGTCACCAGGCTGTCTGACAAGAAATTTAGAATGTTTTAGTGTCGAATTGGCAAACTGCTGGAGTGGGTAATAGGAGACTGGGGTTCTCTTTAGGGTAATTACTTGGGTAACTATCTTCCTTGAACAGAAATTAAGACACATTCTGAATTACAGGAAAGTATTCTGAGTGTCACTAGGGCTTCTGTAATCATTATTTTATTAAGTGTAGACACATTAGTAGAGTGTGCTTTTTCTCCTGCAATCGAGGCAGGCCTTTTTATCAGGGATGCCAAAGGTCCTCCTCCATTTAATTCAGGTGGCCAGTGCAACAAGCACATAACTTGGATTTGATGAAATTATTGCTTTTACTAAACACCCCTGGAAGCTGCAGTCAAGAAACCAAATCACATATTGCATTGGGCACATTGGCTGACATAAATCTCTTTAAAGTGTTAAACAGCAAAGATGTCACTTTGAGGACCTTGACGCAAGCTATGATACTTTCAGTCACCTCATATGCACCGAAAAGATAAGACAGTGAATAAGGAAGACAAAAGAATTGATGCTTTTTAATTATGGAGTTGGTGAAGAATATCAAATATATCATGGATTGCCAGAAGAATGAACAATCTGTTTTGTAAGAAGCACAGTCAGAATGCTCCTTAGAAGTGAGGAAGGCGAGACTTCACCTCACATATTTCAGCCATGTATCAGGAGGGACCAGTATCTGGAGAAGGACATCATGCTTGGAAAAGCAATCAATGAAAAAGAGGAAGACCTTCAACGGGATGGACTGACTGATTAGCAGTAACTATGGGCTTAAAAAACAAGACTATTGTGGGGATGGTGCAGGACTGGGCAGCATCGGGTTGTGCTGGACACAGTGTCACTATGTGCTGGAATAGACTTAACAACACCTAATCACATTGCTTACATAAATGTCTGTAGATCATTTTTGTTCTGCATAGTCACCACTTATAGCAATTCTATTATAGACGGGATAAATAAGTTTCTTAGCATCTGAGAAAGAAGTACCACAGGAAAGATGATGGGAAAAATGGGGAAACAGAGCAGATATAGAAATGTAGACATAGTTCTCAGCAAAGAAATGCAAGGGGTAGAAAAATTGCTGAGAAAACAGAGAGGAGGACAGAGAATAAAATGATCACCTATGAATAGTGTGTGTGATTGTCACAATAGTGACGAGCATTAGGATAGTACCAAGTACTGGTTCTGACTCCACTTTTTACAGCAGACTTACAAATGAGGACAATGTCTTCCCAGTCTATGAAATGCTACTCCTGGACAGGAGCAAGAAGAGTTTCACAAGAAATCCATGCTTGCTATATCTATTTCAGTGCTCTTTGAAATTTTCATTTGGGAAATATATTTGCCTGCTCAATTAAACCTGGCATAGACTTGGTACAATTCAAATCTTTTGGAAAAGTTAAATGCTTCTATGAAAACAAAATAATTCGTTTTCTACGGGAAGTATTCATGCGCGGTAAACAAAGTTCTAACTATCCTCTTCACCAACAAGATATAACAAGGAAAACAAACAAACAATAACATACTCTTTCATGGGAGATTTTAAGACTAAATGTCTAAGTTAGGGCCTGACTGAACTGTACAGTTTGAAGATTTGGAGCTCTTTCACAGCCATGTATATTCATGCGCCATGAGTTGTGCTTTGGGTCGCAGGTACTCTTCCTTGGAATCATTCACTTGACAAAGCCCAGTGCAGCTTAGTTCCTGGCGAGTTGAATAGTCCTCTCCTGCCAGCACGTCAATCTATAAGGTTCTAGTGTTTGGATGTCAGAGTGAGCGTTGAAGATACTCGGAAGATCTGGGGAAGCATGTTACTAAGCTGATAAAACATTTCTTCAGAAATACTCTGCAAGAGATAAAGAAAAAGGTTGCATTTTTATAGTATCATTAAGAAAAATTTAAAGTATTTTAAAATGTAGAACTCATTCCACATATGGAATACAATATGTGAAAATTATCTTTAATGGCTGATTTAATAAAGGGCAGGTGGAGTCTTTCTGGCTCCGTCCTCAGAATATATGTTGTTTCTGTCAAATAATAAGTTTGGTCACTGGAAAAATCCCTACAGAACACTAGTGTAATCGGTAATAAATGCACCACCAATACTGCCAAGTTCTATAGAGAACTTAACTCCTGGGATGGTGCTGTATGAATACCACTGGACTGTGAACCACAAGGGGGGCAGTTCAAACCCACCACCTGCTCCTCTGAAATCCTACAGGATCACTATGAATTGGGACTGATGGCATTTAACAACAACATAGAGCACTTAGTAGTATACTGGGTTAAACGCTTGACTATGAAATGCCAGGTTGGCAGTTCAAACCCACCTGTCAACCATGGGAGAAAGATGAGATTGTTTGCTCTTGTAAATATTTGTAGTCTCAGAAATCCTACGGTGCAGTTGGACTCTATCCTGCAGGGTTGCTGAGTTAGGAAAACTGAACGGCAGTTGGGTAGAGAGAACAGAGAACCATTCTCTGCTAATGCCTTTAAATCAGGTTTGGTTTGGGGGTCAAAGGAGATTCCTGGAATGGATATACCAATATGCTGATATTTTTGACAATTTAAGTACTTTATGGCATCCAAACAGATTTCCCTTAAAAAAACCAGAAAGTTGTTAGCATTTTATTATGCTGTATTTAAGAGGTCTGGAGGAATATTATAACAGAGATTGGACTGGGGTGAAATAACATACCTGTGGTACCAGAAATTGCACTGTCCTAGAAATTCCTCCATCCCATGAAGCCATTTCCATCATGAAACCTAAAGTAGAACAATAGAAAGCCTTGGTTAAATTATAAGTTCTGATCTTCAAATTGAACTGAGTTTTCACTGTGGGGCTTCATGTCTAACTTCTTAGGCCACTAGCCTGTAAGAGAGGCTAACCCTAAAGGACAGATACATTTCTGAAATCCTTAAATCCCCAAACTAGAGAGGCTTAACATGTATATATTAGATTTCTCAAGTCCCTTTCAGTCTCTACACTTTGAAGTCAAAACAAGTTTACTAAATATGTGGCTCTGTTTTATTTATTTACTTCCTTTTAAGAAAATAAAAGGCCGTGAAAAAGCACGAATCAGAGCAAAGTATAAACAATATTAAAATATTCTTGTATTCTAAGAAGGCTGGAGAATTATTTTGTGACTGAAAAAAGGTAAGCTAAAAAGTCCCTTTATGAAATACCTGTCACATGTGGTACCAGCTGACAGGAATTCTAGGCTGCTCAACTGCTAGGCTTCCTCAATTTGGGAGGAAGAAATACAGGCAGTTTGTTAGGAAATCTAAGGGCTACGCTCACCTTTGACACACTTAAACACAAGTTCTGCTCTCTTCAAGCACCAGGGGATAGTCATTTCCTAAAAATGAAAACAAAACCAATCATCTGTTTTTAACGTCAATTTTGTCTATACTTAATTCGAATACATAATTAAATGAGCTCTGAATTGATTTATAATGTTGATCATCCACTTTGTGAACAGATTCAGGCAATTTTTTTGCTAATTCCCACCAGATTTCATCTGGTTTTTGGGCTTACAACTTCTTCCAGCTGTCAGGATGCAAACTAACTTAGCCTGACAAATACATTAAAACACACAAACATTTCCATAAAACTTCCCAGATAATTAATTCTAGAGACATATATAAGTGATTTAGGAACTCCATCTAGTACTTGCAATATGTTAGCATGAATAATTGTACTAAATTGTATAGTATTTGCATAAGCAATGCATTACATATTTTTATTATATAATGTAGGTTATTATAAAAGTAATGGAAATAAACAGACCTCTAACAAAGCAAATGTATTCATTTTTCGACATCACCTTTCAATCTGACCATATGCACAAACCAGTGCCTGTCCAGATGACACCCAGTACATTTAGAATTTTCCATGGCTATGGAGTCCTGGGGTGGTGCTGTGGGATAATGCACTGCACCACTGGGTCAGTATGAACCACAAGGTCAGGGTTCAAACTTACCAGACGCTCCTTGGAAACCCTGTACAGGGTCACTGTGAGTCGGAACTGGCTCGACTGCACTTACCAACCAACCAATGGTCAATTCAAAATTGTTTCTTTGTTTCCTCCCTAAATTGTATTTATTTTTTGTTGTTGCAAATACACAAAGCAAAACTCAACTGTTGTCTTTGATCCCACATTGCGTCTGTTAAGTGCCACCCAGTCAGTTCTGACGCATAGTTGGACCCTGTATAGGGTTTCCAAGGAGCAGCTGGTGAGCTTGAACCTCTGACCTTGCAATCTGGCACATTAACCCAAAGCGTCTGAGGATATTTTTGGTGTAAATTTTAAAGATTATCTCAAGGCAGTAGTTTTAGGGGCTCAACCACCCTTCCTGGCTCCAGAAAGTCTAGAGTCAATAAGAATTAGAAATTCTACTCTGAAATTTTCTCCTTTTTGATCACATTTTGACCTTTTGTATCCAGTTACATGACTACCATCACAATCTACATACAGAGTGTTTCCATCACTCCAAAAGGTTCCCTTATGCCCTCTGATCTTTGGCAACTATGGATTTACCTTTTGCCTCTCAAGTTTTGTTTTTAATAATTTCATTTAAGTGGAATCTTACAATATGTAGTCTCTTATGCCTGGCTCCTAAGGTTTTATAGATCTGTATATGTTGTTTAACGTATCAGTAGGATTTCCTTTTCATTGCAAATACCACTCCACTGTGGGGACACACACTACAGCTTATTTATCCACTCAACCAACAGTTAATGGACTATCTGAGGCTATGTCTTGGCGTGGTCAAATACTTTTATTTCTCTTGGGTGAATGTCTAGGAGTGGGTTTGCTGGGACGTATATACAAAGGGGCTTCAAAAAGTTTGTGGAAAAGTGGAATTAAAAGACAATGAAAAATTCCCAAGAACTTATTAACATGTTCTTATAAACATACATGTCCCGTTGTATGTTTAACTTGGTAAGAACTTGCCAATTGTTTTCAAGGTGGTTGTACCATTCTGAGTTTCCACCAGCAGTCCATGAGAGTTCTAGCTACTCCATATCCACAATAACACTCAACAGTATTGGTAGCCTTTTAAATTTTAGCCATTCCTCCGGGGATGAGGAGGCCTGGTGTGGTGCTGTAGGATAAGAACTGGGCAGCCAACTGCAAGGTTGGTGGCTCAAACTCATCAGTTGCTCTTTGGAAACCCTAAACAGGGTCACCAGTAGTCAGAACCAACTCAATGACACTTAACAACAACAACAGGGATGTTGTAGTATTTCATGATTTTAATTTGTATTTCCCTAAAGTCTGTAATGCTGAATATCTTTTTATGTTCTAATTTTATCATTTAAATATCTTATTTTGTAAAGTGCATGGTCAAGTTTTTGGCCAATTTTGAAAATCATGCATTTTGTCTTCTTGATATTAAGTTGTACAGTATTTTAAATATTCTAGATATATATTTTGTAAATTTTTTTTTTCCAGCCCACAACTTGTATTTTCATTTTCTTAGCAGTACCTTTGGATGAGCAAAGGACTTTAATATTGATGAAGTATTATTTGTCAAGTTGTTCTTTGGTGGTTTGTGCTTTTTTGTGTTCTAACAAATCTTGGCTTAGCTTAACACCACCCAAGTTTTCTTCTAAATGCTTTTCTCTAGACGTTTATAGCATTAGCTCCTCCATTCGGGGCTGTAATCCACTTTAAGTCTGTTTTAATATATGATGACAGACAGGGAAAGGTCAAGGGTCTTTTCATATGAATACCTAATTCTTCCAAAACTACTGGTTGGAAAGTCTATCCTTTCTCCCACTGAATTGCCTTAGCATCTGCTGAAAATGGCATGACCATATACAAGGGACTCCAATCTCTTAATTCCATTTTTTCCTTAAACTTTTTGAAGCCCACTCATATATATGGGGGTTATTTCTGAATTTTCTGATCTGTTCCTTTGATTAATAGTGTATTCTTTTGCCAAGACTCACTATACTGGTTATTGTAACTTTATAACAAAAAGTCTTAAAATCCGGTGGTGTTAAGTTTCCCAACTTTGTTGTTTTTCAAAATTGTTTTAGTTGCCAGGTCCTCTGGATTTCCATATGCATTTCAGAATTATCTTGTAAATATCTACAAAATGATCTTGTAAGGATTTGATGGGGATTTAAATCTACAGAGGTCATCAATTTGGGTACTGACATCTTAATGACATTAAATATTTTAACCCATTAAAATAATATTTAAGTCTTCTAAAATTTCTCTCAGCAATATTTTACCTTTGCTAGATAGCTTTTCATAGCCTCTTTCTTCTTTACTTGAAGACATGTTCAGCTTGTCTTTAGGTTCTTTTAGCATAGCAATCAAGTACCATGTGGTCTGTGTCTCATAATTTCAGTTTCTCAAGTCTGTATATTTGTTTCTATGGCTAGCTGGTTCTTCTGGTTCTAATTCATAGTGTCTCACTTTCTTAAGGGCCTAGGTGTCTTTTACCTAATTAAAAAACTTGCATGGAAGAACCATATGTAGAAATAAATACTGATGTATTTATTTGCACCATCTTAAAATATTACTCTAAAATGTGTCAGTTTGGCAACTAACATGCAAATAGCATCAAGGAATTACTATTTACACTATTTTAAGAACACATTTGTTGTTAGTTACTGTCGAGTTGGTTTCAACTCACAGTGGCTTGGTATAGAGGTTCTGAGTCAGTATATCTTTGTGGGAGCAGAAAACCTCAACTTTTTCTTATGGAGTGGCTGGTGGGTTTGAACTGCTGACCTTGTGATTAGCTCCACCAGCACTCCCTAATAAAGCATATGTATTATTTGGAGTCCAGGTATGGTGCAATAGAATACTCACTGGACTGCTAACTGCAAGGTCGATGTTTCAAACCCACCAGCCACTCTTTGGAAAGCATATACAGGATCGCTATGAGTCAGAACTGACTTGATGACACTGAACATATATATATATTTACGAGTTGGACTGTTAACTTCAAGGTCAGCAGTTTGAAACTACTAGCTGTTCTGCGGGAGAAAGATGAGACTTTCTGTTCCTGTAAGGATTTACAGCCTTACAGGATTTACAGGGTTGCTATGAGTTAGAACTGACTCCATGGCACATAATAAACCAACCAATAATGATCAAAACCATAGTCCTTAGTTTGTACATTGAACCTCAATGTAAAGAAACAAAAATTCTCACAATTGAACCAATAAACAACAACATGATAAATGGAGGAAAAGACTGCAGTTGTGAAAGACTTCATTTTGCTTGGATTTACAATCAACATTCATGGAAGCAGCAGACAAGAAATCAAGTGATGCACTGCATTAGGCAAATCTGCTGCACAAGATCTCTTAAAAGTGTCCAAAAGCAAACATGTCAGTTTGAAGACCAAGATGCGCCTGACCGAAACCATAATATTTTCAATTGACACATATGCATATGGTAGTTGGACTATGAATAAGGAAAACTGTAGAAGAATTGATGCATTTGAGTTATGGTGTTGGAGAAGAATATCATGCTTTGGACATATTATTAAGAGGGACCAGTCCATGGCGAAGGACATCATGTTTGGTAAAGTGGAGGGTCAGTGAAAATGAGGAAGACCCTCACAGAGCTGGATTGGCATAGTGGCAGCAACAATGGGCTCAAGTGTAACAACTGTGCAGGACTGGGCAATGTTCTGTTCTGTTGTGCATAAGGTCGCTATGAGTTGGAACAGGCTTGACGGCACCTAACAACAACAAAGTTAAAGTCTAGTACTACTACTCACATGAGGAAAATTAATGTGAATTTAAGAATACAACTTTTGAAGGGCTAGCCTCAAACACCAATACACAGCCTATATATTATCCTAGTGTATTAAAATAAAAATGATAATGGCAATGATGAAAGACTACAGCATGGGCCTAATGGTTTGGACAAAAGTCACTGGGTAAAAACGAGCAAATTCCTTCCTTGCTCCACTTGTCTAGAAATCATCATGTTCTACCATTAAAACTATGCTTTCTTACTTTGTAGATAAGTATGCCTAATAGGATGGCCCAGAGAAAACATCCAAGACAATTTTAAAACTTCATCTACAGAATGATGTAAATGGATGACAAGTTTCATCACAGATCTTTAGAGGGCATTCCAAAACACCAGGTTATGGTAGGGTCCCAGGATATCTTTGAATGACAGATATATGAATTTTCAGATGATGTCCTTTTACTAGACAGACCTAGTACCAGATGCATCAAAGACAACTCTAGACAGCTGCATGCCAATGCATGTGTGCACACATATGCAATCCATGCTGTTTTAAAATTTCTACATGCTTACACAGAGACGCCATCAAGCAAAAGGAAGGTGTTTTTATCCTGCCATGTTTTCTATAAAGCCAGTAGCATATAAAAAGACTGGCTTTGAGTGCTTAGAGAAAGCAAACCATAGTTTTAGAAGTCAGTACTGTCATGAGAAGATATAACCTGTTGTCTGTCATCATGGATGTGACCTACATTTTCTGGGAATAAATCTTAGTAAATAATAAATAGTAAATTGAGACACAACCATATGCTATTGTTGTGATGTGCCATTGAGTCAGTTCCAACTCACAGAGAACCTGTATTGCATTTCTGAGGAGCACCTCTGGTGGATTGTAATTGCCAACCTTGCAGCTCAAACAGACCTTGCAGTCCAGTGCTTATCCTACAGCACCACACCAGGACTCCGATAACAGTATAGAAAGTTCTTAACCATTTTTTTCTAAGTAATGGCAAAGTGGCCAAATTCTAATGACACATCTGCAATACCACACTGAGAAAAAAAAAACTAGTGAAGAGGATGAACAGATCATGTCCATCATTTCACCCTTTGGAACTGAGGCGGAAAATGTGGTTTTCTTGTTACATTTTACATGATACACAGGTACTGCACATAGCGTCAACCTAAGCCTGTGAAACTGAAGTTATAATAGGAGGTCTGATTACAACTGCAGGTAACGCCTTCTATCTAGCATTAGAAAGCCATACATTGGCTATTCAACGTGCCTCTTCTAATGAGGGTTAAGAATGGTGTGTAGAGGTAAGATTTAGTTGGTAGAGAGTTAGACATAGGAATTACTTTCTGAGTTTAAACATCCATGAGGAAGATTCCAAGACTATGCTTTACTTCTCATGTATGTGCCTCTTAGGTACCTAAAACACTTGTACCAATCAGTTTCACAATTATTATTATATTATAAGGTGAGAAACAGTCTGATTTTGTTTCTTATTATTCACTTTTTAAAAAATAGGTAAATACAACCAGTTTGTAAAACTATTTGCCAACTGATGCTAAATGTATAATACATACCTGAAGACTCAATAATTCCATCCCTAAGTATGGGGCCAGCAGAACTGTCTAAATACATATAGTAGAATGTTCACAGCAACACTAATCATAGGAATCAAACCTAGAAATTACCCAAATATCCATAAATACAATGGCTAGATAAATGTGGTCTAGTAGACACAATAGTGAAATAATAGACAACAATGAGAATGAACAATCTTCAACCATATACAATTTTATGAATAAATTTTACAAATATAATATTGAGTAAAATAAATGAGATATAAGAGTACATACTATGATTCTGCTTGTATAAACTATAGAAACAGGCTAACTAATTAATCTATGGCTATTTTGGGGGGTCAGGGTGTGGTTTAAGTCACTGGAAGAAAATGAGGGTACTGGTCATGTCCTGCTTCATGATCAGGTATTTCTTACATGGTTGTTTGTGAAAATTTGAGCGGTATATATATGTGTTTTTTCTATATTTGTATTATACTCTAATGAAAAGCTAAACAACCAACCAACAGTACTTTTTCAACAAAAATTTATGACAAATAAACTCCAAGCCCCAAATAATTCAACAAGTTAATGGTAAAATTAAGTATCAGGAAGCCAGGATTTTTGACTTGCATGTTCATTCCACATCTAGAATGATGTAAAATTGATTAGGCTATACTGGAACTGACTCAATGGCACTTAACAGCAACAACAACACTGATTCTAGCTATGGCAGTATCTTCAGATCATGAAGTTCTATATCGTTCTTCTTGTTGGTACATTGATTTTTCCTTTCTTTTAATTGTAGTTAATTTCTACAGTGTTTTTGTTTTTTTTTCCTACCATAGCACAGGTACTGTTTTCTAATAGTATCATCATTACCTTGCACACTAAATGTGGCAACTGAATGTCTAGCAATTCTGCTTGTTAAAGTAGGAAAGCAATACCTGAAAATGAAATGCTTTAGGATCCTTGCATGAAAGTTTAACCTAATATTACTTCTATATCCTGTATGCCTTGCTATGGACTGAACTGTGTTTCCCCAAAGAATGTTTCAACATGACTAGGCCATGATGTCCAATGTTAATGCAATCATCCTGCCTTTTTTGATCTAGTGCAATTATTGTATATATTGTAAAGCCTAGCCTCTATGATGTTAATGAGGCAGGATACAATCTATAGGATTAGGTTATGTCTTAAGTCCATCTCTTTTGAGACATAAAAGAGATTACATAAGTGAGCAGAGAGCAGAGGGACCTCAGTACCATCAAGAAAGAAGGGCTGACAATGGAGCATGTCCTTTGGATCTAGGGTTCCTGTGCTGAGAACCTCCTAGAGTGATAGCAAGACACAGGAGACTTCCAGGGAACACCAGGCCTATGTATGTAGAAAGGAGATAAGGACCTTTCCCCAGAGCCAACAAAGTGAGAAAGCCTTTCTCTAGAGCTGGTGCCCTAAAATTGGTCTTCTAGCCTCCTAACCTGTGAGAAAATAAATTTCTGCTTATTACATTTATTCACTTGTGGTTAATTCTACTATAGCAGCACTGGATAGCCATGACAACCATTGTGAGATTGTACAGTAAACTTCTTGACCTGAATCGCTGTTTAAATTCAACAAATGGGAGGATCATGACTCAATATACTTTTGTGAATTAAATTGGACACTTCCGAAACCAGCTAATGTTCTGCAGCTGGCGGTCCCAATTTAAAACATGTAACTTTTGTAACATTGTGGGAAAGGGAATGCTAGTAGTATCAGATGTCTGGAAGTAAATCTGAACTTGGTGACTTCTGTAAACACTGTTTTTGAGGTTGTTTCCCACCTACGTATAACCATTTTTATAAACTGGTTAACCAGGAGCCCAGCTGCAGAAATGTTTGGATGTTTCCTTGTGGCAGGAATTCATCATAACTTTATTGTTACTCCCCAAAGACCCTTTTATAGATGAACTAGTTAGTGATGGTAATGTAACAATGGCTAAAAATTCCTGATGGCACTAAAACTTTATAAAGCTTTAGTGGAAAACAAAACAAAAACACCATGTGCTTGTCAATGTCTCCTCATACCATATAAGGTATGACTGAGGCCACAGATGTGAATGAAATGAAAAATTACACAGTTTGATGCAGCTTTCATAGAATGGTGCCAGAATTCTCTTGATCAAAATGTTAATGTGCCTGGTCAAAATACAAATAGAATGCAAGTGGGAAATCATTTAGAATCATCTTGCCTTGGATCAAATCAACGATTTGTTTGTGTTTATAAAGGCATTAAAATGAGGCCTCTTATGTTACAGTGAAACTTATCCTACAGTGTGCCATATTTGACTGCTAACCACAAGGTCGGCAGTTCAAATCCATCAGCAGCTCCAAGAGAGAAAGATGTGGCTTGTCTGCTCCTGTAAAGACGTACAGTGATGCTACAGAAGATCCCTTTGGTCTAAATTGAGTCCATGGCCATGGATTTGGTTTTGGGTTATTTCGGAACTTAGTCACTCTAAAAAGTACAACAAAATCTTTTAGACTGTACTTTGCAATATAGCACTTGCACACATCTTTATTCTGGTAAATCACTTTTCATAATTAATGATCACAATGTGCACCTAACAGGAGCAATTTTGTCTTTTTAAACCATTTTTCCTTAGGCCACCTTAGGACAGGCCTGTAGAGTATTGCAGATACGGGTTCCTCACAACACTTGCCTCCTAGAAGAAGGTGGTGGTCCTTTGTTCCTCCAGACTAGCTGAAGTTCAATTTTTTAAATTTTTATTATTTACACATGTTAACTGTTTCTTATGTGGGTTGGGGAGAAAATCAAATTGCCATAGAGATCTTTTAAAATTAAAAATAGCAAATAAAATACATTACAGAATGATATGTAGAAATTTCTGTAGAAATCAATACTGCATTATCCAGAGCATCCTTACCAAAACGTTAAACTGGAATTTGGCTTTTTCCTGTCATCTAGCATCTCTTATCATCGTTTATTCATGCGTACTCAGAGAATGCAAGGTCATTTTAATGTTAGCCTAAGCCAACTATAAATGTAGAGGTCTATCTAGCATTATTTAAAACAAAAATGGTGGAGAGAAGAAAGAATAAAGAAGAGGAGAAAGAGGAAGTGAGACACATGTCTTATCAAAAGCTGAAGAGTGTTTTGCTTTTCTCATTTACCTACCATGGGACAATGTTAAAATTCTCTGAATTCTATGATAAAGATTATCCATTGTTTTGTATTATATACTTTATTATATTATACATATAACACTCAATTTTAGTACCCATACAGGATATGCAAAGATCCTTGTGAAACATATATATTTTTTAATGTAAAGGGAACTGTTAGTATTATAATATTGAGAGTTAACATATTCATATTGCTGTTGCTAGTTGCTGTTGAGTGGATTCCCACTCATGGTGACCCCATGTGTGCAGAGTAGAACTGCTCCAAAGGACTTACAAGGCTGTGACTTTTGGGAAGCAGATTGCCAAGTTGTCTTCTGAGATGCCTTTGGGTGGGTTTGAACTGCCAAGCTTTCAGTTGGTAGTCAGATGCTTACCCATTGGTGCCACCCAGAGCTCCTAACATATTCATAAACTCATTGTCTTTTCTATCTGCTTACCTCTGACATATCATGCACCAGCAAGAGGGGAATGCTTATTGTGGTGATATCATGTGTACAGCAAACCTTGAGTATATTTCGGAGCCCCATAATGGCAGGATCGCGGGCGGTGATGTTTCCTGATTTCACATTGTCATCCACACAGAGATGGAAAGCAACGTGGATTTCTGCGAGGTTAGAATGCCGCGTAATGTAAAATTCTCCTGTGAACAACAGATAGAACTAGGATTTTCAAACGTATAAATCATATTCATCAGTGGGATGAACTAATACAGTTGAACTAGAAGCAGTATATAGGAATGTATCTACTATGGTAGCTTCCTAAGGCCTGAATTCTTATAAGGAAGGAGACAAAAATAATAGGTCACAACCAATTTTGCATTAACTTCGTAAATGGTAAGTAAGAAGTAAGTAAATCAAGTGAGTATTTTTCACTGTTTTGATGTTGCTGTTATGTGCATCAAGTAGGTTCTGACCCATAACAATCCTGTATGGCATTTCTGAGGAGTGGCTGGTGGGTCTGAACTGCCAACCTTGCAGTTCAAATTGACCTTACAGTCCAGCACTTATCCTATAGCGCCACTTAAAATATCTGTGTAACTCAAAACTGAACATGCTGCCCCAATACATCATCGTCAATCCCTAAAGCTGCTCTTCCCTTCTCAATTTATGGGGACAATCTCTATGTAACTGAGGTCAGAAACAGAAGAGACAGCTCTATTTCCACCAAATAGCCTAAATCTATGTGTTCTATTTTTATGGCTATCTTGGCTCATGCCCTCATCATTGCTCACCTAGGTTTCTGTAATAGTCTGCTGACCATCTCTTTCCTCCCATTCTTGCTCACAAACAATTTTCTTCTAGCAGCCAAAATGATATATATGTAAATCAGCTTATGTCACTTCTCCACTAAAATCTTCCAACAGGCCCACCATGTATTTAGAATAAAATCCCAACTTTTTCATGTGGTCAATAGGCCTGTGTGATCTGGACCATCCCTGTCTCTCTCTCTCACATCCTCTTGTCTCACCCACTCTCCTTACACTCTAGCACACAGCCTTTTGTTCAGGTCTTCAAACATGTAAAGTTTATGCACAGTTCAGGGCTGCTGCTTAGAAGGGTTTTCTCCAAGATTCTCACATGGCTGGCTTATTTTCATCAATCACCTATCAGTTTAAACGTCACCTCCTCAGAGAAATCTTTCCTGAATACCCTGTCTAATATAGGACAAACCCCTCCATTAGTGCACATTATCCTGTTTTATTTGCTGTGGCACTGTAGGATAAGTACTTGACCATAAAGTCAGTTGGAATCTCAAGGTAGGAGGTTCAGACTCACCAGCCGCTCCCTAGGAGATTCTATACAGGGTTATTATGAGCTGACGACAGCACTTCACCACCATCAACCAAGCACTGAGATATTTGGTTTGTCTTGTAGGTTATTTTGAAGAGATTGTGGTTTAAGCTCCATGACCATCAAGCTTGGTTAAAAATCTATCTTGTTTGAGGATCTATTTATAGCATACAGAACAGAATCTGGCAGAGAAAATACTCAATAAATATTTGTTGAATGAATGAATGGATGTTTTAGACCAACAGCTGGAATAGTGCTTCTCACACCTTAAAATCCAACCTCCCTACGATCACTCCATTTTTTATGCCACCCCACTACCTAAGAAAAACCTCTTCAGTTTTACTTTCTATCAGTATAATTAGACAAACTGTAAAGCACATGGAGAATATGTTTTTACAAGTATTTCACTAGAAATTCCCATATCTCTTGTTAAAAAAGTGTTGCTCTTCTTTACTCTTTTCTACCACTAACCCCTGCCTCCACAGACTTTCTTCACCCCTGGTTCAAACTCATTACCATAGGATTTTACTTGGTAAGCATACTTAATATACATGAGCACTATGCTTAACCTTCCAGTGTACATAAGCTGTTCCTGTGGATACCACTCACTGGTCCGAGGCAAAGACTAAAAAAAAAAAACAAAAAACCAAGAAATTTAAATCAGATAAAGCAATTAGATAAACAGAAAGTCAAGAAATGAGTCACTGAGAAACGAAGAACAAAAAATCACTATGCAAGAAGAAGCAATGAGAAGTGTCTGCTGAGGAACAGTACTGTGGCTGTGGCTGTTAAGTGCCGCTGAGTCAGTCCCGACTCATAGCGACTCTACATAGGGTTTCTGAGGAGTGGCTGGTGAATTTGAACCACTGACCTTTTGGTTCAGTGGACCTTGAGGTTGAGCGCTTATCCTATGGCGCCACACCAGGACTCTGAGGAATAGTATAGTTATTATTTCCCAGGAAGTCCCTGAAAAACAAATCACTGCTATTCAGAACCCTGAGGGCCTCCATGAGACAATATCTCTGTGAGCCCAATGAAGTATGTTACCTCCTACGCCCCTAGAGAGAACTCAAATGGTAGCAGCCATAGTGTTGAATATGGCAGTGGCTCAGTAGACAGGCAAGTTGATTTAGCGAACACGAGTCAGGTACTGCTAATCCCCAAATTGGCACTGATTTGCTTAACCTTAAAGGATATGTCTTAGGGGTCAAGGGGATTGCAGTAGTAATCAAAATAATATGATACAGAAAAAGGATGAGCTTGGGTATTACAGAAATTCTGGTCTCTAGCATTTATCAGCAGAGTGATCTTGGGCAAGTCATTTAATTCGCTGATTGGTCCTCTGATACTTCATGTATAAAATGAGACAAAGATGCCTGTTGTTGTGAGAACTACGTGATATAAACTGTAAATGATTAGATAATGATAAAGTACTACTGGCTTAAAGAATATACAAATTATATTATTTTTCTCGCAGTTTAAAAAGTCTTCAACAAGAATGTAAAAGAATTGGTGATTTGGAGCTTTTAGACCTCCTATATATAAACTTCCTGGTGGTGAAGGCATTCTTTATGTGGAAATTCAGGTATTTTTAGGATATCTAACTCAATAGTCTGGTTGGTATTCCTTTTCTAACTCAGGCTTATGACATTTCCACTTGATTTGATAGTAATAATGAGATCGTGGCTTGTTTGCCACAAAGGAGCCTAAAACAGGAAATACTGATATAGCAATTAAGAGTTAAGTCAGAAAAGAAATCAGACATCAGAATAGATAATAAGATTGGCTCATTTTAAGAAAGCCACAGAATACGGATAATTTAAATTTGGACCTATGGAAAGAACTACAAAGAGCCCTGTCTCCATGAAAGTATTTTTAGATGGCGAGGAGGAGGAGGGTTTCCTGTTCCACAAAGTGGAGGAGACGGCATGTGGTGAGGCAATCGTGGCTCTAACATTATCCACTAAGGTAGCAATGCAGAAGTGGGGAGGAAATTTGGAGGCTGATGACCACAGAAAACTGGCTGGGACTTCCATGATTGATGAGTACCAGACACGGGCATGGTATTTGCATAGGTTAAATGTGATGTGACCTATAGGTAGAAGATCTGGGGAAAGAAAAGTGAGGAACTTAAAGGAAACTAAAAAAAAAAAAAAGGAAATTAAAGGAGGGCAGGAAAATATTAAGAGCATAGTTATTTTTGAAACTGTATTGTTGTTGAGTTCCATCAAGTCATATAGGGTTTCTGAGGCTTTAAATCTTTATAAGAACAGAAGCCTTCATCTTTCCCTTGTAAAACGTATGGTAATTTTGAAATGCTAACCTTGAGGTTAGTAGGCTGACTCGTATCACTACGCGAGCAGAGTTGTTTCTAGGTGATATATGACAGTTTATCATGTCTGAGTTTATGCTTCAAATCTATGACGTCAATGTATATGATTCCATCCAGTTCTCACTTAAGCTGCAAAGACCAGGTTGTTGTGAGACAGTCAGTGTTATGTAAAACAAGAGAATGACCACTTTAGGTCACAAAATGGACCGTGACTGTGTCACTCTATACTGACAAGTTTCATCATTACAAAACTGCCCAACTACTGAGCAACCATGGCCCAGCCAGCCTGAGGCAGAACCTTACCCACCACAGCCAGTGGTACTCTTCCCTCACACCTGAGCGTTTACTATTGACAGACATATGCCGTTAATGTGCAAAATAGTACGAGTTTTACTATTGTTATGTCATTAAAATGAAATCGTTGATAAGTGAGGAGTGGTGGTGGTTGTGTGCCACCGAGTCAGTTCCCACGCATAGTAATCCTGTATAGGGTTTCTGAGGCTGTAAATCTTTATTGGAGTAGAAAGCTTCATCTTTCTCCCACAGAGCAACTGGTAGATTTGAACTGCTAAACTTGCAGTTGGCAGCCCAGCTCATAATCCACTACGCTACCATGGTTCCTTAAGTGAGGAGTAGATAGCAATTTAAGATAAAAAAATACTTACCAGGTAAAATATTTAAATAGTTTCGATCAGTATTCTTAGTCTTATCATCACGTCCTCCATTTTGGTTTCCAGAATCTATTCATAAAGATAATGTAATATAAAAATATATAATAACATATGTAAACACATTATTAGCACTACTCCTAAAACAATCACAACAAAAGTAAAAATTTACTAAGGGCATCAGCTACATGCATTACATGGCTGGATTCATTTAATTCTTACAAAACCCCTGGGAGGCAGGTACTAATCATATCTTCATTTTTACAGAGGAAAATGAGAACACAGAGACTTGTTGTTAGATGCTACCATCAAGTTGGTACCAACTCATAGCAACTCTATGCAAAACAGAAGGAAACAGTGCCCAGTCCAGCACCATCCTCACCATTGTCATGGCTGAGTCCACTGTTGCTGCTAATGTGTCAATCCATTTCACTGGGGTCTTCCTCTTTTTCACTGACCTTCACTTTAACAAGCATGATGTCATTCTCCAGGGACTGCTCCCTTCTGACAACGTGTCCAAAGTATAAAAGATCAAGGCTCACCATCCATGCTTCTAAGGAGCTCTCTGACTGTACTTCTTCCAAGACAGATTTGTTCATTCTTCTGGCAGTCTATGGTGATTTCAGTGTTCCTCACCAACACCAGAATTCAAATGCATTGGTTTTTCCAATCTTCCTTATTCATTGTTCAACTTTCACATGCATATGAGGTAACTGAAAATACCACAGCGTGGGTCAGGTACACCTTAGTCCTCAAACTGACATCTTTGCTCTTTAACACTTTAAAAAGGTCTTTTGCAGCAGATTTGTCCAATGAATATGCTGTTTGATTTCCTGACTGATGCTTATATGAGTGTTAATTGTAGACCCAAGCAATATGAAGTTTTTGACAACTTCAATCTTTTCTCCATTTATCATGTTATTTATTGGTCTAGTTGTGAGGAATTTTGTTTTCTTTACATTGAGGTGCAACCCATACTAAAGACTGTGTAGACTTTGATTTTCATCAGTATTTCAAGTCCTTTTCACTTAGAACAAGCAAGGATATGCCATCTGCATATCTCATGTTGTCACCGAGTACTCCTCCAATACTGATGCCATGTTCTTCTTCATATAATCCAGTTTCCCAGGTAATTTGCTTAGCACACAGGTGGAAAAAGTACGGTGAAAGGGTACTACTCTGACACACACATCTTTCCTGATTTTACACCATTCAGTACCTCGTTCTGTTCGAATGACTGCCTCTTGGTATATGTACATGTTCCTCATGAGTACAATTAAGTGCTTCACGATATTGATAGTTTGTTATTATCCACGTAGTTGAATGCCTCTGCAGTCAAGAAAGTACAAATAAACATCTTTCTGGTATTCTCTGCATTCAGCCAAGCTCCACTTGATGTCAGCAATTATATTTCCAGTTCCACAGCTTCTTCTGAAACTGACCACAAATATGGATCTTTTCCAATTGGTTGGCCAGGTATCTCTCTTCCAAATTTCTTGGCATAGATGAGTAAGGGCCTCTAGTGCTGCATCAGTTTGTTGAAGCATTTCAATTTATATTCCATCAATTTCTGGGGCCTTGTTTTTCGCCAGTGCCTTGGGAGCAGCTTGGACCAAATATCATCGGTTCCTCAATATCATTGGTTCCTGATCATTTGGTACCACTTGAAATGGTTAAACACTGACCAATGCTCTTTTTGGTATGGCAATTCTATGTAATCCTTCCATTTCCTTTTGATGCTTAATGTGACATTCAATATTTTGTCCATAGAAACTTTCAGTATTGCAATCCGAGTCTTCAACTTTTTCTTCTGTGTTTTTAGCTTGAGAAATACTGAGCATGTTCCTTCCTCTTAGTTTTCTAACTCCAGGTCTTTGCCTTTTTCATTATAATACTTTATATTGTCTTCTTGAGCTTCCCTTTGAAAATTTTTATTAAGCTCTTTTACTTTCTCATTTCTTCCATTTGCTTTAGTTTTTCTATACATAAGAGCAAGTTTCAGAGTCTCTTCTGACAGATATTCTGGTCTTTTCAATGACTTCTTGCTTTCTTTATGTATGATGTTCTTGATGTCACCCTACAACACCTCAGGTTTCTGGTCATTAGTATCTAATGAATGAAGTCTGTTCTTGAGATGGTCTCTAAATTCAGGTTGAATATATTCAAGATCATATTTGGCTCTTGTGGACTTGTTTTAACTTTCTTGGGTTTCAGCCTGAACTTGCATATGAGCAATTAATGGTCTATTCCACAATTGGCCCCTGGCCTTGGTTTGATGACACTGTTTTTCTCCATTGTCTTTTCCCACAGACATAATCAATTTGATTGCTGTGTATTCCACCTGGTGTGATCCATGTGTAAAATTACTACTTAAAATTTAAAAAAAAAAAAGGCATTTGCGATGAGTAAGTCAGTGGTTTTGCAAAATTCATGTGAGCTCCAGTATCATTTCTATCATCAAAGGCCATATTTTCCAACTACTGATTCTTCCTTTTGTTTTCAACTTTTGCATTCCATGACTAGTAATTATCGATACATTTGATTGCAATTTCAACATTGAAGTAGTTGGTAGAATTCTTCAATTTCATCGCCATTGACTTTAGTTATTGGTGCATATATTTGAATAATCGTGGTATTAACTGGTCTTCCGTGTAGGCATATGGATATTATCCTATCACAGACAGCAATGTCCTGCAAGATAGATCTTGAAATACTCTTTTGACACCATTCCTTTTTAATTTGTCATTCTCAGCAAAGTAAACTATGTGATTATATGATTCCAAATGGCCCTGTCTATTTCAGTTCACTAAAACCTAGTATATTGATCTTTTTACATTCCATTTCACTTTTGAAAGCTTCCAATTTTCCTAGATTCATACTTCATACATTCCAGGTTTCTGATTATTCATGGATGTTTGCAGCTATTTCTCCTCATTTTGAGTTGCTCCTCATCAGCAAATGATGGTCCCAAAGCTTTGCTCCATCCACGTCATTATGGTCAACTGTACTTTGAGGAAGTATCATACTGTGAGTGCCTTCCAACCTGAGGGGTTCATTTTCTGGCACCATATCTGACAGTGTTGTGCTGCTATTTGTAAGGTTTACAGTGATTACCCATTCCAAAGTGCTCCATCTTTCCTTCTTCCGAATGTGTCTTAGTTTGGAAGTTCTGCTGGTACCTTTCCACCATAGATGACCCTGCTGGTATTTAAAATACCAGTGGCTTGGTTTCGAACATTATGGTAACACCCAAGCCGCCACTAAACTGACAAACCAGTGGGGAAATAGAAACTTAGAAAAATTAAGATGCACAGATAAGTGGTGAAGCCTGGTCTTGAGCACAGATACTCAGATTCTAAATCCATTGATTTTAGCCACATTAGGCTTGCCAATAACTGTTATTTTTCATCTAGGAAACTTAGGGTACAAATTTAACTACACATAAAACAATTTCACTAGATTGTTTCAGTGTGGCCATCTTTATTTTTAGAATCTGAGTCACAGTTGGTGACATACTTGTTCAGGACTACAGTCACTTCATATTTAGCCAAATTTGCTACTACTGATCTGACAGTTTATGTGGCAGGGCTTCAAACAGTTCATAGAAAAATCGATTGGAAACATAATTAAAATTTTCCACATACTCCCTGAAGCCCCCTCATACAATTTACTTCAAATGTATGGGTAAGACTCCATTTCAACTGGAACATTTCTTTCTTTCTTTTTTAAAGGTTTTTATTGTGGATTGAGTGAAAGTTTACAGGGCAGATCATCAGTTTTACATTCAACAAGTCATACACCTTGTTTCATTACAATGATTATAATCCTCTCCATGTACCATCAATTAACAGTATTTCTCTCTATTCACTTTAGTATTTTTTAAACACTCAGACATATATAATAATTTACACCACCAAAGGACACATTCTGAAAGTCCACCTCCTGGCCACCAGCTCTTAGTCCCTCTCTTCCCATGATTCTAGAGTCCTCAGCTGCTCCCTCTCTCCATGTCCCCATCTCTGCCTCCATTATCTGTTATTGCTGCTTTTCTGGATAAGGTCTCGCATTCTGCTTGTGCTCATCTCCCTTGATAGTCCTAGGGTCCTTTGTTTCTGGACTGTAAGATTAGCTACTACTCCGTTTTTGTTACAAGACTTCTACCTTTATAATTGTGACAGTCACAGTTAGTCATGATAACAATTACTCACTATTGAATCACAAGAATCTTATCCCCATCTCTTTTAACCAGACCCATCTAGCCAGATGAAAACTATTCAGTGGGGACTCTTTCTTCCCCTACACACTATTAAACTAAACTCCCACCTGAAACCTTGTAAGCCAGTCACTTCATGCCTTTATCCCCCATCATTTTAGGTAGCCATTGTCTAAGTTGCCCATCGCTATCTGCCCTGTGTACAGAGGGGATAGCATTGATACTTGATGTGAAGACTCCTTTCCTCTCTGTTGCTATTTAGAGTTATTAGCTCCATGAGTACAGGTCAAGTTCATCAAATTGTAGCAGTTTATTTGCATTTCCTTTATCAAAAATTGTTCTGTTCTTTTTTTTTTTTTAATCCTCCTATAGTCAAGTTCTGATTATCAAGCCGTCAAGGTCAAATGGATACTACCTGCAACTTTGAGTGTTCTTGTGCGCCTCCTCTCATTCCATATCATCTGGATGTTTCACTCTCAGCTCTAGCCCTCT